TTTTTTGGTCTGCGGGTCGAGAGCGAGCCGCTTCCGGTTAAGAGCTAGGCGGGCCGCGCAAAGCACTAATTGGGGAGACAGGGCGCGGGCGGGCGGGGCCTCAGGCGGCCGGAAGGCGCGGGGTGCAGGCGGTGCTGAAGAGCTTGCACAGGAAAAGGCACACCCTGGACAGGAGCCGGAGGTGAAGTCCCGGAGGGTGAGCGGTGTGGTGTTGCCGTCGACGGCGCGTCAAAATCACCATCCTCGAAGTGCTGCGTGCGGAAGGACGTGAACAGGTCGACGTCCAGGGGGAAGAAGTCCACCATGAAGGCGATGAGCAACGTGTGCCACCAAATGGTGAGGAGAGGCCCAGGAGAGAGGAGGACCACGAAGACGATGCGCAGCGTTGTGCCACCGGGTGGTCGGTAGCGGCCTGGGGTGGTAGTCCAATCCACGTCCAGGGAGCAGCCAGGAGGTGCGGCCAGAAACAGGGCCGTCTGTGCCCGACTGGATGTCGGTGGTGTGCAGGGAGGAAGCCTGACCTGCACAGTCAGCGCGTGAAGACGGGCGGGAGCCACACACGATGCGCTGACGACCGCATAACATCAGCAAAACACCTGAGGTGTAGCATGCCGTTGCTTCTACAGCCGAGTCGGCTTCAGACGGTTCTGGGCTCGCTTAAGAGGGCCCCAATGACGGCCCGAGAGCGCTTGAATAAGGTCCGAAAACAGGCGAGGAGGGCCCCGTGAGGGCCCCCCCAAGGATGCCACAGAGTACTGTCTGAGGAGGTCTCGACGGCCCAAAGAACTCCAGGATTCCCCAGGGGGGCGCCCAGTTGACGCCAGGACGGCCCACGAGTGCTTCACAGGAGCCCCAAAAGATTCGAAAACTACCACAAGAGGGCCCAAGAAGGGCTCGATGGGGCAACCGCAAGAGCGGCCCAAGCGGCAGAGGGCGGCAGCACACATCGGAAAGAGTTGGAACCAACAATACGCGGCAGCAAGCAACATCCAGCAGCAGCAGCAAGCAGACGCCAGGACGGCCCATGAGGGCTTCACAAGAGCCCCGAATCAGTAGGAGACGACCAAAGGAGGGCCCAAGAAAGGCCGAAGAGGCAGCCTCAAGAGTGGCCCCAGCGGCAGCAAGCAACAGCACACACAGGCGAACACTAGCAAGTAGCATCCAGCAGCAGCAAGCAACATCCAGCAGCAGCAAGCAGCCACAAACGACACAACCAGCAACAGCAACATACAGCAGCAATGCTAGGATAATCCAGCAGCAATATACATCAACACCCAACAGCAGCACAAGCAGCAACAGAATAAAGCAATGGCGTTGCCGACTGTGTTCGAAATAGGCTTTGCGGGGAAGAGTTCCGGCGGGCGCGCGGACGCGTTGCATGTTGATGAATATATTTGGGCACCCAGGGGCCAAGGGAGCACCAGACCACGGCTGCGGGTCTGAAGAGCATCATTCGAAGTCGTTGAAACCATGTGTTCTGGCCCAGGGTGGTCACGCGTCGTGTTCAGCTACTGGGAAACATTAATCACGCCTCGCGTATTCCCACCAACCCATTCAGAAACCCTGCCCATGAGAGTTGACGGAGAAAGGAACGACTAACATATAGAGAGAGAGATGTGTAGATATATTATATCTATATATGGATTGATTTCCTGACCGTTGCGGGACTAATTGATTCCTCGGTTCTGTACATGATCGGGGGGCGGTTATAGCACGCAGTCCTTTGTGATCTTCGGGGCAGGAGGAGGAGGAGGACGAGCACGAGGAGGAGAAGGCAGAGGACGCGCGCGCAACTCGAGGAGAAGGAAAAAGATGGAGGTCCGCTACAAAAACAAGAGCGCGGATAACAAAAAACAGCGTCTCGTCGGCACGCGCGGCGGCCTCTTGGAGCATGTCGGAAGCCATCTTGAGCGATCGGCGGCTATCTCGAGCCGTTTGGGAGGCCACATTACAGCATCGGAGGCCCTCTTGGAGCCATCTTGGGCGACAACGACCCTTTGACATATCGCGTGCCCCCCCCCCCCCCCAAAAAAAAAAAAAAAAAAACTCAGGGAAGGGAGGGGGCGGGTACCCCTCACCGAAGGGAAGAAGGGACCGGTCAGGCGATCGCAAACATTCATGAAGGGGGCGTGGAATAGCGACGGGTCCCGTGTCCATGGGAAATCGCGGATCTCCGCCGCCGAACGAGGCGGCACCGGCCGCACTTTGGGGAGGGCACCTCCCCCGATCCATGGATTTGGCGACCGCGTGCCGAATCCATGGATCGCTGATCCATGTTTGCTCACGAGGGGAAAAAACACACAGACACATTGAATCATCGATTCCCCAGAAAATATGGGAAAACATGGGAAGTGGGGAAGACCAAAAAAACACAAAATATAAGAAAACATTGGGAATCCTGCAATTTGTGTGTATTTATTTGTGTGTCCCTGGGCCCCTTCAAAGAAGGAGCGTGGGAGGAGAGGAGCAGAAACGCACCGTCGGACCACCTACGCCCGGAGGGCCCGTGGGCCCCCAGGCCTGAGCCCTGAGCCTGTCCAGCCCGTGCGTCACGTCATTGAGAACGCTGCATAGTGACCCACCTGCCAAAGAGGTCTGGACGAGGAAGAGGAGGAGGGAGGAGAAGGAGGAGGAGGAGGAGAAGGAGGAGGAGGAGGAGGGGGAAGGAAGGAAGGAAGGAAGGAAGGAAGGAAGGAAGGAAGGAAGGAAGGAAGGAGGAGGAGGAGGAGCAGCTGTAGCATGCCAGGTTGCTAGGGATACCCAGACGGCGCAGCCTGGTGGCCCCCGCAAGAGGAGGGGCAGGGGATTCAGCGCCGGAACCCACGCCGACCGCGCGCGCTTCGACCTTGCTTGCAACGCCGCGTTCCGGCGGCAGGTCAGGGCGCATTTCGATGCCTCGGGTTCGATTCGATTCGACTTCGACGGATTCCGATTCCGGTTCGATTCGATTCGACTTCGACGGATTCCGATTCCGATTCGATTCGATTTCGGAGTCCGACTTGGGATCCGATTTCTCAGTGGAGGCCTATTAGCCTGCCGATGACCTTTCCCGACTCGGCTGCCGATATCCGTCGAGCCGATTCACGCCGATCGCCGATCCGACCTGTCGATCCGATGCTGGGCTCGCCTGGCAGGTGCTCACCAGCCCACCGCCTGCGCAGCGGGGCTCCCAGGAGTTCCGGAGGGGGGAGAAAAACACAGACAGACACAAGTCATCGTCGATTCCCAGGAAGAGGTCGGAAAAGGTGGGAGAAGTGAGGGGGAGAAGACGCAAACCCACAAAACATCAGGAAGAATCTGGGAGATCCTGGGATCTGTGTGTGCATTGATCTGCGTGCCCCTGGGCCCCCTCAGGACTCGCTGTATGCCCAGCTCCACCACTCCTACCAGCAGCTGCTGCGGCACGTGCCGGGCAGGTTCCCGAGCAACTTCCAGCGCCACGGCCGGCGGCGGCCCCGCCGCGAGCGAGGCGCCCCCGCCGCCCGGAGGCGGCCGGAAGCGGAGGAGCTGGAGGACGAGTCAGAGGCGTCGGCACAGGCTCGGTCGGGCGTTACGTACACGCAAGGAGGGGGTGGCTTGAACGAGATCGATGCTTCTGATCCCGCTACATCGATGGATGTGCGCCAGAACTCCGTAATTGGCTTCCTGCTCAAGCTTAAGACAGAAAACAGCTATTATACACACAACTCTACACACATGTATTACGGTGTTCTAAGAATACCTCCTGATATACGGTGAAGAATAAAGCCCTAGAGGGGTCCTTGAGGGCCCCTGCTGGTTCCAAAAAGGGCCCTGGAGGATCCTTTTGGGCTCTTTTTTGTTTCACCCCCCATTTAGGGCACCCCCCACTGCCACAAGCCCGACAGGCAGCAGCGGAGTCCCAGAGCGAGGCGGAGGCGTGGGCGCCGGCGGCAGCGGAGGCTCAGACCCCGCGGTCCTCCGCGCCGGGGTCGGAAGGGGAGAGGAATTCCGCCTATGCCGAGGCCCTCCCCCCTCCTCCTCCTCCTCCTCCTCCTCCCTCCTCCTCCTCCTCCTCCTCCTCCTCCTCCTCCTCCTCCTCCTCCTCCTCCTCCTCCTCCTCCTCCTCCTCCTCGGCCCTCCCCCCGCGGGATTCACGGGTGGGATGATGTGCCCCGCGGGTGATTGGTTGAACGGCTGGCGTCCGCGCGCGGCTCGCGCAAGACTCTTCGGGCCGCCCGCGACGGCAGCCACAGTTGCGGCCGCAGCCGCAGTGGCGGAACACATTTTGGGCCGCGTGCGGGCGACTGCAGCCGCAACTGGGCCCGCAACCGCGCCCGCAACCGCATGCACAATCGCAACCTGGGAATACAGTTGGAGCAGCCCCGCGGACGTGCGCAACCGCACCCGCGACCGCGACGGGGGAACATGTTTTTTTCCGCTCTCGGGCGACTCCAACCAATACTGCAACCGCTCCCGCGCAGCCGCGGAACATGTTGTTGGTCGGCTGCGCCGCGAAAGAGTGACGTCTCGCCAGAGGGAGCTCGAGTGCGGGCCAAGAGGGGTCCCATTCGGCCCCCCGGCACTGGCACGCTCGCTTGGACATGCCCCCCCCCCCCCCCCTCTTCTGCGGCCCCTACAGCCGCTCACCAGAGGTCGCCCTCGCCCCCAGGTCACTCCTGCGTGCCGCCGAGCTGGGCCGCTCGCGGGCGTCCGCAGGCGCGGAGCCGCGCCTGCACTTTTGGGGAGCGTACACCCAGCAGAGATGTTAAGAAAAAGCATTGATTTCCATGGACTTCCGATTTCGCTTGAGAAAATCAATACGGTAGGTTTGCGTCGTGTCGACCAGCGGCGACCCCAGCGCGGGCGTTCAAGGTTGAACGCCGCCGGCGACCCAGAATCGATCGATGTTGAACGATCGGACGTTGCGGCAGCGGCCGATCGTTCAAGGTTGAACGATCCCTGCGGTGTCAAAAACCAACGCTGGTACGGTGGGAGCGTTCGAGAAGGGATGCGCCGAGGAAGCTGCAGACCCTGGGGGACTCCTTGTCCGATGAGGGCGTCGGTGGTATCCATGGCCGAGCCTCAATTCGTGCGCCACCGGCTTCCAGACCCGGGGTTCCTCATCCAAGGGTTCTTCATCCAATGCCTTCACCGTAAGCTGGACTAGACCCTGGGCGTTCTCTCGGAGTTTTTTCTTTGCCGTAGACTGTTAGGATACCCGGCCTCCCGCGGGCATCACAAGGGCCTCATCTGCAGAAACCGCCCAGCAAGGCCGACGTGAGCTGCCCCTGGGCGTGGCCGGCGGTGCTCCCGTGGGGACACTGCAGCGTGGAGCCCCTTCCTCCTCCTCCTTCTCCTCCTTCTACTCCTCCCCCTGCAGCGTTCCACGCTGCTGGCTTTGATAAAACCCTGAGGTCCTGGCGTCTCAATTTTCTCGAGCAGCGCACACTCACAGATCGACCTGAGAGGAGGCCAGGACGAGGATACTTCCCGGTACGGAGAAATCGAGAATCTTTGAGATCTGACGGCTCTGGAGTATGTATCGGGCGCCGCGGCCTTTCCAGAGCGTTCCACAACGCCGAATGCTCTGGAGCGGATTCATCCTCATCCCAGCCCCGTCTTACGATCCGGCTCGACAAGTGACGCAGAAAGATTGGGTCCGGGGCTGCGGGCGGGATTTCTCCGACGTTGCAGTGCGTTTTCGCGACGTGGGATCTCAGGGAACCCCTCTGGAGCGTCCTGGGGGGGGGACCCTCGGCGCCACGGCTGCATCGAATTCGGGGCCCTGGTCACGCCCGGCTGGACGAAGCGCTGCAGCGCCAAGATCTCGGGAGCCTCTAGGCGGGGGTCAACGCAGGGAGGAGGAGGAGGAGGAGGAGGAGGAGGAGGAGGAGGAGGAGGAGGAGGAGGAGGAGGAGGAGGAGGAGGAGGGGGGGAGGGGGAGGGGGAGGGGAGGGGGAGGGGGGGGAGGAGGGGGGGAACGCGTGCCCCAGGAGGGGTCCGGGGAGCACAGCTGGCACGAGGGTGAAGCACTCGGGCCAGGCGAGAGGGTAGGATGCGGAAACAGGGGTCAGTATCGTTCGGGAGTTGACAGACCTCCTACCCTGACACGTCGATTAAGGAATCGGCTGTTTTCGGTTCGCGAGAGGGCGTCGCGGCCGTCATTTTTGCGGGTCCAGGTCCGTCGGTTTCGGTCCCAGGCCGTTGTCACTAAGGGGATGTCTACTAAAGGGAGGTTTGTCCACCGCCGAATCGTTCATCCGATCCCCATCCCCATCCCCATGCCCTTCGAGACCCCCACCAAAGTACCGCCCCAGTTGGGGATACATACACCCCTCGAAACCCGAAGGGAACGGCCTCTATGCCCATCTAGGGGGGGGTAAATCGGCCAGTGGGGCCCAGGCCACGCCGCTGGGGATGGGGATCGGTTAAACGATACTCCGATACGGAACCAGGGGGTGTACGAAACCTGCTGCATGCAGCTGGTTTCCGCACCCCCAGGGGCCCTCTCCTCGATACAGGGGCGCCTCCCGGCGCCAGGAGGCTGCGCGAGCCGACTCTCTGTATGCCCTCTGCTCATATCCTGCCCTGCTCGTGCCAGCTCTGCTCCCCGGACGTGTCCTGGGGCGCGCTCCGGCCAGGCTTCCTCGAGCGGATACCCAGCCGTGGCGACAAGCCCAGACCCCGACGTCATAATTTCTTCATCACTTCAACCCACAGAGGTCTCGACCCCCATTGCCCGGGACCAGCTGTTCCTCCCGAGAGTTGTTTTCGGACGGCCCCGAGGCCCGGGAGGAGCAGTCCCGGCGTGGAGCGCTGCAGGAGGAGGAGGAGGAGGAGGAGGAGAAGGAGGAGGAGGAGGAGAGGTAGGGCAGGGTCGGATAGCAAAGAGCAGGGTCGGGCAGAGGAGGAGGAGGAGGAGGAGGAGGAGGAGGAGGAGAAGGGAGTAGAAGTAGGAGTAGGAGTAGGAGTAGGAGTAGGAGTAGGAGTAGGAGTAGGAGTCAAGCTAGCCAGCTCGAGCGAGTCAAGCATGGCATGCCCAGTCCCACCCGCCCTCCCACAACATAAGAAGCAAAGCTGGCACAACTGGGGGCCGAAGTCACACCGGCCAGCCGGTTTGGTACAGCTGATGCGGCCGCGATGGCGGTTGCCGACGGGAACTGGCGAGCGCGTGTTGAATGCCGCGCACGCATTGCCAGACGAGTCGAGAATGGCCCGGTACACCGCAGGAAGCCAGAGGTGGCCGGAGGAAGCCCGACGGTCTGACAGGACACCCCAAAGCATTTTTGTGAAAAAGCATTGGGTTTTTGATGTTTTTATGTTGAAATGCTTGCAAACACACGGTGTTCGGTAGGATTCTGACATGAACGCGCGAGTGTGCTCTTTGTGGTATTTTTTGCACAGGATTCGCGGCCTGGGTGCATGACAGAGCATCGCGAGTGCACCGCGCGATGACGTGAAATCGCTGGATTTGGCAGAATTCTTAAGATTCCTATGGTTTTCCTATGATTTCAGCAAGAGAGCCCGGGCGGGAAATTTGTACAATTTTTGTGGAAAAGCATTGGGTTTTTGATGTTTTTATGTTGAAATGCTTGCAAACACACGGTGTTCGGTAGGATTCTGACATGAACTCGCGCGTGTGCTCTTTGTGGTATTTTCTGCAATGGATTATCGCCGTGGACGACAGGACGTCCATGTCGAGAGGAAAAAATAAGAAAAATGTTGATTTTGTATTGTTTTTTACAGGTTAGGATGGGACCACCCGGATGCGCCCGCTATCTGCCGGCCTGAGGGGGGAGTAGGAGTATATTCTAATAAGGAATAAGGATAGGAGTAGGAGTAACTAGGAGGAGGAGGAGGAGGAGGAAGAGAAAAAGGAGGATAGGTAGGGCAGCGTCGGACAGCAAAGGGCAGCGTCGGGCAGACCGCCCAGGTCTGCCGGGGGTGCGTCCTCCGCGGCCCCGGGCGCGGGGCCGCCCGGCCGTGGCGCGGCTGGGCCCTTGCGCGTGCCCGCGGACCTCGGCGCGCCCGAGGACTGGCGCGGCAGGGTCGGCGGCGGCGAGCAGCCCACCACCTCCTCCTCCTCCTCCTCCTCCTCCTCCTCCTCCTCCTCCTCCTCCTCCTCCTCCTCCTCCTCCTCCTCCTCCTCCCTCCTCCCCTCCTCCCTCCTCCTCCTCATACTCCCCCTCCCCTCCTCCTCCTCTCTCCTCCTCCTCCTCCTCATCTCCTCTCCTCCTCCCCCTCCTCCTCCCCCTCCTCCTCCCCCTCCTCCTCCTCCTCCTCCTCCTTCTCCTCCTTCTACTCCCACTGAGATCTTGGCGCTTCAATTCCCAACCATCCTGTGGTGTTGGTTTCCTCGTTCTGAGGAGAAAGCTCCCCGCGTCCTCACTCCAACTGCCGCTCCTGCCTTCTTTCTCCCATCCTTCCCCTCCTCGCCTCCCCCACTTTGCCACACCCCTCACACGTTCCGTGGTCCCATAGGGAGCTCCATTCAAGGCCCAGATGCCAGCGCTCGCATGCGCCCACCGCACCCAATGTGGCACACCCCTCACACATTTCGTGGCCCCATAGGGAGCTCCACCAAAGGCCCAGATGCCAGCTCTCGCATGCGCCCACCGCACCCATTCTGGCACACCCCTCACACGCTTCGTGGCCCCATCGGGAGCCCCACCGAAGGCCCAAATGCCAGCGTTCGCATACCGCACCCATTTTGGCACACCCCTCACACATTTTGTGACGCGGCTCCACCATAGGGAGCCCCACCGAAGGCCTAAATGTTAGCGTTCGCATGCGGCCACCGCACCCATGTTGGCACACCCCTCACACGCTTCATGGCTCCACAGGGAGCCCCACCGAAGGCCCAAACGCCAGCGTTCGCATGCGCCCACCGCACCCATTTTGGCACACCCCTCACACGCTTCGTGGCCCCACAGGGAGCTCTTCCGAATGCGGCGCGTGCAACGACGGCATTCGCGATTGCGTCTGGTTGGCTCCCTCGCCGGGCAAATTCTTCGAGCCGGGCGTTCTCGCCCTTCGTTCGGGCCCCTGGGCCCCGCAGGTCGATCCGGCTCGAGAAATGGCGCAGGGAGAGGGGGTCTATGGCTCTGGGCGTGATGTTTTGTGACGTTGCATCATTTTCGCTATCTATACGTCGGATCTTAGGGTCAGCGGGCCCTGGGAACGACAGGCTGTCGGTTCCGTTCTGCCGTGCTTGTTGCCGGTTCCGTTTTATTGTTCTTGCTGCCATGCAGTTGCGTCGCCGTTTAAGTTGCCGGTTCCGCTTTGCCGTTTTTGTTGCCCGTGCCGTTTTGCTGTTGTTGTTTCCGCTTCCGTTTCGCTGTTTGTGTTGCCGGTTCCGTCGCCGTTTTTGTTGCCAGTTCCGTTTTTCTGTTTTCGTTGTCGGTTATGTTTGCCGTTTTTGTTGCCAGTTCCGTTGTGCCGTTTTTGTTGCCCGTTCCGTCGCCGTTCTTGTTGCCACTTCCGTTTTGCTGTTTTTGTCGGTTCTGTTTTGCCGTTTTTGTTGCCGGTTTCGTTGCCGTTTTTGTTGTTCCGGTTTGTTGTTTTTGTTGCCGGTTCCGTTTTGCCGTTTTTGTTATTGGTTATGTCGCCGTTTTTGTTGCTGGTTCCGTTTTGTTGTTTTTGGTGGCGGTTCCGTCACAGTTTTTGTTGTCCGTCCCGTTTTGCCTTTTTTGGTGCAGGTTCCGTCGTTGTTGTTTTACAAGTCTTTTTTGCCGTTTTTATTGCCAGTTCTGTCGCCATTTGTTTGCCGTTTCCGTTTTGTCATTTTGTTGCAGGTCACGTCGCGTTGCCGTTGTTGTTGCCGGTTCCGTTTTGCCGCTCTTGTTTTTGGTTCCGTTTTGCCGTTTTTGTTGCCAGTTCCGTTTTGCCGTTTTTGTTGCCGATTCTGTCACAGTTTTTGTTGCCGGTCCCGACGCAGTTCTTGTTGTTCGCTCCTTTTTGCCGTTTTTGTTGCTGGTTCCGTGTTGCCGTTTGGGTTGCCGGTTCCATTTTTTTGTTTTTGTTGTTGGTTCCGTTCTGCTGGTGTTGTCGCCGTTTGTTTGCCAGTTCCGTTGTGCCGTTTTGTTTCCATGGCAGTTCCGTTTTGCCGTTTTTGTTTCCGGTTCCATCGCCATTCTGGCTGCCAGTTCCGTCGCCGTTTGTGTTGCCAGTTCAGTTTCGCCGTTTTTGCCGGTTCCGTTTTGCCATTTGTGTTGTAGTTTCCGTTTTGCTGTTTCTGTTGCCGGTTCCGTTTTGTCGTTTTTGTTGCCCGTTCCGTCGCCGTTTTTGTTGTCAGTTCCGTCGCCGTGTTTGTTGCCAGTTCCGTTTTGTTGTTTTTGTTTCTCCATTTTTTTTTTTTGTTGCCGGTTCCGTCGCCGTTTTTGTTGCCCGTTCCGTTTTGCCGTTTGTGTTGCCGGTTCTGTTTTGTTGTTTTTGCTTTTGGTTCCGTCGCCGTTTTTGTTGTTGGTTATGTTTTGTCTTTTTGTTGTTTGTTCCGTCGCCGTTTTGTTGCGTTGTGTTCTTGCCAGTTATGTTTAACCGTTTTTGCTGCCAGTCCTGTCGCCGTTTTTGTTGCCGGTTGCGTTTCGCCGTTTTTGTTGCAAGTTCCGTCGCCGTTTTTCTTGCCAGTCCTTTTTGCCGTTTTCGTTGCCGGATCCGTCGCCGTTTGAGTTCCATTGCCGTTTTTTTGCAGGTTCCGTCACCGTTTTTGCTACCGGTTCTTTTGTTGTTGTTTTTGTTGCCGGTTCCGTCGCCGTGTTTGTTACCAGTTCCGTTTTGCCGTTTTTGTTGCTAGTTCTGTCGTTGTTGTTGTTTCCGTGCTGTTTTGCCATGTGTGTTACTGGTTCCGTCGCCGTTTTTGCTACCAGTTCCGTTTTGCCGTTTTTGTTGCCCGTTCCGTCGCCGTTTTTGTTGCCGGTTCTGTTTTGCCGTTTCTGTTGCCAGTTCCGTCGCCGTCTTTTCGCCGGTTCCGATTCCACCTCCAATCTTAGAGCTGTGTTTTTTGTTGTCTCCAGTCGCCGGTTTTTGCGGATGGTTTGTTGTTTTTCGTAGTTATTTGTTGTTTATTCGTTGTTTTTTGTTGTTTTTAGTCGTTGTTGTTTCCAGTCTGTGTTTTTTGTTGTTTTACCGTTCCCGTTTTCAATGGATGTTTGCTCAAAAGCGGTGCAACAAAACGGCCCCGTCGTTTCCAGGGCCCGTTGAAGCCCAGGCCCCCGTCGAGTCATGGGAGAACCACGACGCAAGGTTTTTTCCCCTGGTCGAATTACACGCCGGTCGTTGAAAGTAGGAATTTTTAGAGTCCCAGATCCCAATCTGCTTTCAGCGCCTTCCTACTTCAAGAATCGACGCGCTTCTGCTGCGTTCTGTTGTTGTTCTCTGGGAGGGCCGGGACCCAATCCACTTTTAATCCGCCTTCCTACTTCATGCTTCTGCCTATTTCTTCCGACCGACGTGTATCAGGAGAGGAAAAAACACACAGACACAATTAATCCTCGATTCCCCAGAAAATATGGGAAAATATGGGAAGTGGGGGAGAAGACAGAAACCCAGAAAATATGAAAAATATGGGGAATCTGTTATATGTGTGTGTATTTGTTTGTGTGTGTCCTGGGGCCCCTTCAGTGTAGGCCTCTTGGAGGAGCGACGCAGAAAACGGGGCCATCTTAAGTCACCGACACTGGCGCGCAAGTTGCCCCCGCGGAAGGTCGCGCGTGAGCGCGCTCGCTTCCAGCGTGGCGTGCAGCGCCGGCGGCCCGCGCAGACCACCGCGCGAGGTTTCGCTACGTCGTCTCGCGTAAGGCCCGCTTCTTTTCGCCGCTCAGATGGAGAATCGTGCCCTCCCCCTCCTCCTCCTCCTCCTCCCCTCCTCCTCCTCCTCCTCCTTCCTCCTCCTCCTCCTCCTCCCCTCCTCCCCCTCCTCCTCCTCCTCCTCCTCCTCCTCCTCCTCCTCCTCCTCCTCCTCCTCCTCGCCGGAGCAGACGAGGTCGGAGAATCGCGTCGCATCGCCGAGGCATCGACGATTCGGTTCGATGTGGAGCCCGATCCTGTCCACGCCAACGTCGCCGATGCGCCGCCGACGTCGCCTGTGCATCGGCGATGCAGCGGCGATGCGGCGCGATCCTCCGGCCCCATCTGCTCGGACCCCATCTACGAGGCCTCTATCTGGGGACCCTTACCCGGCCTCGGGACCGCCCAAAACGACTCAGGATGAAAAAAACAGTCCTTGGGAATGGGTCGAATCCTTCGGGGGTCGGCGTGGCGGAAAGATCATGACGTCAGAGGCTTGGGAAGTTCGAATGCAACTCCTGAGAGGTCAAATTCTGATTTTGCCCTGGTCCGAAGTCCGGCTCAATCCGGCTTCATCCCACGAAATCCCGCTTAATCCGGTTTAATCCCACTTAATCCGACTTACTCCCGTTTAGTCCGAGACTCACTCTGGCGTAACAGCCCCGCAATGGGGCTGAATTCTCCTTTATCTTTCCGACGAAGACCTCCCAGCAGTTGCCTCCCAAGGGAAGGAGGGAGCGTGACAAGGATAGGCCCTCTCAGACGGCGGCGGGGCTTCTCAGCAGCCCTCCAGCCTGCTGAGAAGTGTCCTTCAGGAGGGAAAATAAGACACAGATACAATTGATCGTCGATTCTCCAGAAAGTATGGGAAAATATGGCAAGTGGGGGGGAAGACAAAAACACAGAAAAGATTCGAAAATATGGGGAATCTTGTCATTTGTCTTCCCTTATTTGTGTGTCCCAGGGCCCCTTCAGGGGAAGGCTTCCGCAAAAAACTTCTCAGAAGGCCTGTGGGCCCCCGAGCCGTCTGAGAAGGCCCGCCCCCTCGCGCTTCCCCCCTGGCGACGCCGAGGTCGGGGACCTCCTCGACGCCATCGCGGACCCCCACGCAAAGGCCGAGGTCGCCCTGGGATCCTCGACAGAGGGCGCGTGCATCCGGCGTCGGGCGCAGGGACCCTCGCGGATCGGCCACCGGCCCGAGAAATGCCGCAGGAGAGAGAGTCGGGGGTTGGGGCTCCGGGCGAGCTTTCTCGTGGTGTTGCAATCTTCGGGGGCGGAAAAGAGGGGGGTGATGACTAGGGGGAGGGGTGGATATCATGGCGCGGGCCATGATATCTCCGCAGATTTCATGGAGCCTCTTCTTATTTCACTACGTACCAGGCCCCCCCGCTGGGCCGCGCACATTCCGCCGGTTATGATTTGCACCCCCCCCTTTTGGACACCCCCCTCTTGGCCGCTCCCGAAACCTTGCGCGCGTCGTCGGACCTCAGGTCGTGCTCGGCTCCGTCGAGCGCCTCGGGTGCCGCCTCAAGGAGGTCGAGGAGCTCGGGTGCAGCGTCGGGGGGGGGGGGGGGATAACCTCCAGGGGGGAGCCTGGCATCGCTCGGACGCGTGCGTTTTTTCCTCGGCGAGGACCATCGAGGAGCATCCTTAACCATTTGCCGAAAAAACCACGCACGAAACCGAAAAAAGCACGCACGAAACCACCACCACCCGGAATGGACGTCCGAGCGATGCCGAGGAAGGCAGCGACCCCCAATCGCCCCCTCGGCGCCGACGGGGGCCAGCTGGCCGATCGCCCGCCCCGCCCGGGAGCGCGCGGGTCTTCGCTGGCGGGGGCCTGTCGCCGATCCAGTTGGCGACGCGTCGCCGATGCCAGGTCGGTGCTTCCCCACCGGGGCCAGTCTCCCGAAGCTCGATCCCCCCTCCTCCTCCTCCCCCTCCCCCTCCTCCTCCCTCCTCCTCCCCTCCTCCTCCTCCGCCTCCTCCTCCTCCTCCTCCTCCTCCTCCTCCTCCTCCTCCTCCTCCTCCTCCTCCTCCTTCCTCCTCCTCCTCCTCCTCCCCTCCTCCTCCTCCTCCTCCTCCTCCTCCTCCTCCTCCTCCTCCTCCTCCTCCTCCTCCCCCTGCAGGCGTCCTGCTACTTCAGCGAGCCGGGCCGTCAGCTGTGCGGCCACCTCCTGCGGGAGCTCTCCGCCGTGGTGCGGCGCTTCCCGCGGGAGCCCCCGCTGCACGCCGAGTGCCGGGACGTGCTCCTGGCCGTGTGCCGGTGGCGCGGGGACGTCTTCGGCCTGCAGGCCGTGGGCGTCTCGCAGGAGCGCGCGCGCCCCGTGCCCCTGTGCCCCCGCACGCAGCGGAGCGTCAAGGACGCGGTCGCCACGGCGGCGCGGGCGTCGTCGGAGGAGGCGAGCGAGGAGTTCACGCGGCTGCTCGTGCGCACGCAGCCGGCGGCCTTCGTGCTGGAGCACGCGGACGCGGAGGGCCCGGAGGTCCTGCTCGACGAGGCCAAGCACGGGCTCAGCTGGTGCTTCGAGAACATGGAGGTCCCAGAGTTCTGGGAGTGCTCCCGCGCCTTCCTCGGGGAGGTCATGCAGCACCAAGAGCGCGAGGAGTTCCTTGCCATGCACAACTGGGTCCAGGGGGGTCACGCCGACAGCTGGGATCACATGCAAGAGAGGTTCGTCGTCATCGGCCTCTTGTTCGGCACACGCACGCAGATCATCGATCCGCTCCCGCGTCTCCAAGACGCACAGATGATCTCCGCAGCTTTGCGGGTTCAAGGGAAAACAGCCCACCCGCACACACACACACACACACACACCACGGCAATGAGTACATGTTTACGGAGCGCTTGTGAAGTTCATTAGTCGACGTGCCCCCGCGTTGAACATAATCATTTGCCAGACTTGTGCTTGGTCCGTGTTGTACACTTGATTGTGTTTGCTAGTTCGAATGTTAGATAATGCGCGGTTTCGTCTGGTGTGCGAAGAGGTGTTTTGAATAGTTCCCAAACAGTGGTTGCATTTTGGGGTTCTTCATTTCTGTTCTACCGACCTGGGTTTGTTGCCGCTTTGGCGGCTATGTAGCCGCCATCGCCGTTCCGTCGCCACCTCTTCGCCGCCCGTCGTCTGGGCTGGTGTGCCGCTACGGCGGCAATGTAGCCGCCGTCGCCCCGTCGCCGCCTCGTCGCCGCCCGTCGTTTGGGCAGGTGTGCCGCTGTGGCGGCTGTGTTGCCAGCGTCGCCGCCTCGTCGCCGCTCGTCACCGCCTTGAGACTGCACCATATAGATTTCACATGTATTGCATCACATAAGCGGCGCCACATATATTGCACCACGTATATTACATCACATTGCACAACGTAGAGTGCGCCACAGAGGTTGCATCACACATATTACAGCACCTGTATTCTCATGTCTACCAGAGCAGAAGATTCGACCCCCTCCGGAATGAACGATCCACTTTTCCGCATTGCAATGAAAATATGATCATGCCCCATCGCCCAGCATCTCTATACATATGTGTATATATATACATATATACATATATATATATATATATATATGCGCGTGTCCATATATGTATATATATATATGAATTCAGACCATCCCACACCAGCCGGCATCGACCCCCCCGCCATCCTGGGATTTATTCTGGCGACGGACCCAACCCTTTGCGCAATGCGGGGCACGACTAGCTTGGGACACGTTAAACAGAGGTGATGACGTGGCATGGGCGCATATAATTCTGCGAGCGGCATTCGCGAGGCTCGCAGCCACCCAGGGACGGCGAGGTCCACCTCAGGTTTGCGCGGTGCCTCACTCCGCTGGACTCACCAGCAGCCCTCGAAAATGGCGACACTTCCGCTGATCGCAGCCCCCCAAGGACGGCGAGGTCCCGCTCAAATCTGCGCGGTGTTTGCGTCATTCCGCTGGACCCACCAGCAGCCCTCGAAAGTGACAACAGCTTCGCAGATCGCAGCCCCCTAGGGGCGGCGAGGTCTACGTCAGATCTGCGCGGTGCCTCACTCCACCCGACCCACCAGCAGCCCTCGAAAATGGCGACAACTTCGCAGGTCGCAGTCCCCCAGGGAAGGCGAGGTCCATCTCAGATCGGCGCGGTGCTTCACTCCGCTGGACCCACCAGCAGCCCTCGAAAGTGGCGACAGTTTCACAGATCGCGGCCCACACCAGACGGCGAGGTCCACCTCAGATCTGCGCGGTGCCCCACTCTGCGGGCCCCACCAGCAGCCCTCGAAAGTGGCGACAGGCTCGCAGACCGCAGCCCCACAGGGACCTCAGATCTGCGCGGCGCCTTATTCCGCTGGACCCACCAGCAGCCCTCGAAAGTGGGACGGCGAGGTTTGCCTCAGATTTGCGCGGTGTCTCTCTCCGCTGGACCCACCAGCAGCCTTCGAAAGTGGCGACAGGCTCGCAGATCGCAGCCCCCCAGGGACGGCGAGGTTCACCTTAGATCTGCGCGGTGCCTCACTCCGCTGGACCCACCAGCAGCCCTCGAAAGCGGCGACCGCTTCGCAAACCGCAGCCCCCCAGGGACGGCGAGGTCTGCCTCGGATATCAGCGGTGTCTCTCTCCGTTGGACCCACCAGTAATTAGCCCTCGAAAGTGGCGACAGTTTCGCAGATCGAAGCCCACGCCAGACGGCGAGGTCGACCGCGCTCCGTTGGACCCACCAGCAGCCAGCGAAAGCGGCGACTGGTTCGCAGATCGCAGCCCCCCAGGGACGGCGAGGTTCACCTTAGATATGCGCGGCGCCTCACTCCGCTGGACCCACCAGCAGCCCTCGAAAGTGACAACAGCTTCGCAGATCGCAGCCCCCTGGGGCGGCGAGCTCCACCTCAGATCTGCGCGCCCCGCTCCGCTGGACCCACCAGCAGCCCTCGAAAGTGGCGACAACATCGCAGATCGCAGCCCCCTAGGGGCGGCGAGGTTCACCTCAGATCTGCGCGGTGCTTCATTCCGCTGGACCCACCAGCAGCCCTCGAAAGTGGCGACATCTTCGCAGATCGCAGCCCCCCAAGGACGGCGAGGTCTGCCTCGGATCTTCGCGGTGCCTCACTCCGCTGGACCCACCAGCAGCCCTTCAAAGCGGCGACAGTTTCACAGGTCGCAGTCCCCCAGGGACGGCCGCGGCGAGAGCTACTTCGGATCTGCGCAGTGCTTCACTCCGCTGGACCCGCCAGCAGCCCTCGACAGTTTCACAGGTCGCAGCCCCCCGGGGACGGCGAGGCCAGCCACGGATCGGCGCGGCGCCCCACTCCGCTGGACCCACCAGCAGCCCTCGAAAGTGGCGACAGGTTCGCAGATCGCAGCCCCCCACGGTGTGCGAGGTCCACCTCAGATCTGCGCGGTGCCTCTTTCCGCTGATCCCCCCGCCAGCCTCCGAAAGCGGCGACAGTTTCGCGGGTCGCAGCCCCCCACGGACGGCGAGGTCCATTTCAGATTTGCGCGGCGCCTGATTCCGCTGGACCCGCCAGCAGCCCTCGACAGCGGCGACACTCTCGCAGATCGCAGACCCCAGGGGCGGCGAGGTCCACCTCAGACCCGCGCGATGCTTATTCCGCAGAACCCACCAGCAGCCCTCGACAGCGGCGACAGTTTCATGGATCGCAGCCCCCCAGGCAAGGCAAGGGGAGACAAGAAGGGGAGGGGGGCGGTAGGCAGGGGGCGGGAGGCGGGAGGAGAAAAAGGAGGAGGAAGACGCGACCGCAGTGCTCCATTCAAAACGAACGCCCAACCAACGAGGGCTGGGAAACACATTACGCGCGCACCCCCGCTCATCAAATACCATCAGCGCTCAAGAACCTCATGCAAGAATGTAACGATATGCAGAAATCCTCGAGGGGACCCAAAAAAACGTCGCGCGAGGATTTCAAAAAAGGGCGTCACGAAGACATTACAAGACACGGCTTTGCAACAAGAGCAATCCAAAACAGTTTGCGCCCGCGCCCTTGCGCATTTTTGAGAAAACTGTTGCCCGCTCTTCAGTCCGAGAAAGTGCTAGCAAACGCGCACCTCGCGCGCGCGGAAAAAAATCGCCCGGGCGCCCGCGCGCGTTATCGCAAGAATCCCGCGCAACAAATCGCGCGAAGCGCACGCGCGCGCGCGTCGTCGCGCGCGCACCCCGAAATCCTTGGAAGAAAACGCTCGGCGCCGCAAGGATGCCAAAAACGGTTTCCCCGAAACACACATTCAGAAACATACGGTTTTGCAACGTCAGTTCTCAAACAAACTTGCGTTCGCGCTCACGCGCGCCCTAAAGAAAACCAGCGTTTCCCCCACATGTCCATCAAAATCGTACACGCGGCCCCCCGCGCCGCATGTCGAATTCAGTCGAACGCCCCTGCGCGCTGGGGGGGGGGGGGGCGGGGGGCGCGATCCGCGCCAAATAGTTCCACGCGGGCCAATCGCGCGCGTCTGCCGCGCTCGCATGCCGAACTTTTTCAAAAACCTTCATCGCCGACGCGAGGACATCGTCGTCGTCGGCGGGCGCAATCAACATCGGCGCCGCCATTGGCCTTGCCATCGGCATTGCCACCTTCGCCACCGTCGCTACTATTCATAATCGCGTCTACCGTTGTCGACGTCGCCATGATGCCGCGCCCGCTCAAGTCGCCGACTCGCACTGAAGCGCCCGCTGGGACGCGCCCAGCGGCTGGCGCCGCGGCGGCCGCGACGGCTGCACCAAAATCACGCGGCCGCTGCGCGCGCGAGCATGCGCGAGCCAGCGCGGCCGCACAGATGCACCAACCAATTCCAAGCACTCATCGCAATCACCACCGCACGGGCCCCGCTGACCACCCTAAGGGTAAGTGAGCGGGATGATTCCGCGAGCGGTGAACATAAATAAGTTTTCATTCTTATGGGACATAGTCCATCTCCCCCCGGGATTATCGCCCCCCCGCTTCGCAGTGCAATCTGCCGCGTGATTCTGCCCCATCGTCCATCCGAAATATGAACCATGCAATCCCAGCCAGGCCGGCACCGCCCACCCTTTCCCATCAGCTTCTGCAAAAAAAAAAAAAAAAAAAAAAAGCGCACTCGTTTATCAAAAACTATAAGTTCTCAGTCGGAAAAAAGGGGCGAAGTGCATGCGCGCGCGTCGTCGCGCGCGCACGCTGCAACAAGAAAAACCTTCGGCGTCGCACGGACGTCAAGTTCTAGTGCCCAGCTTCAAAAGATGATGAAAAGAAGAAGAAAAGACAGAGACACCAAAAACAAAACAAAACACAACAAAAATACACACACACACACACACACACACAACGTTTCCTAACGGGCTTCGCGCGCACGCGCGTCGAAATCGCTCGAACGCCGTCGCGCGCGCGCCGTCGCGAGAATCCTCTGTAACAGCCGGGGCGGAGTGCACGCGCGCGCGCCGTCGCGCGCGCGCGCCGACAACCGCCAGACACCTTCGGTTTAGCAACGACGTTGAAACCGAGCGCCCAGAAGACAGTTAAACAACACACGGTATTGTAACATCAGCTTGCAAGAAGCATGCTCTCGCGCTCTTGTGAATTCTCAAGAAAACCACAAGTTGTTCAACAGGTTCATTGAATTATGTCCAACGGGCCTCTCGCGCCGCACGCCGACATCATTCGCGCGCCCTTGCGCGCGCGCTGGAGGGGGCGCGAGCCGCGTCTCATGCCACGCGGGCCACTCTCGCGCGTCGGCCGCCCGCGCATGTCCAACTCTTTCCAAAACCTTCGTCGCGGACGCGGGGGCGCCGTCATCGTCGCCGGCGCGATCAGCATCGGCGCCCGCACTGGCCCCCGCACTGGCCGCGCATTTGTCGCTGCCAACATCGCCACCGGCATCGCTACTATTCATCGCGTTTACCGCTGTCGGCGTTGCCATCATACCGCGCCCGCCCAGGTTGCCGACTCGCAGCGACGCGCCCGCTGGGACGTGCCGAGCGGTCAGCGCCACCGCGGCCGCGTCGGTCGCGCCAAACTAGTTGGTTGTTGCGCGCGCTTGGCTCGGCGCGGCCACAGAGATGCACCAGCCAACGCGAAGCACGCATCGCAATCGCCACCGCCTGGGTTTTGCAAACCAAGATGCGGGTGGGTGGATGGGATGTCTGCAAGAGCGTCGGATGCGTCAACTCGTCTGTTAAAATCAATTTTCCGTTCTAGACATGGCAGAGGTTCCACCGCCCTCCCCCCCTGGACTTATCGATTCCCCGGGAAACTATGCAAAACAAGAATCCCTTGCAAAGACTGGGACAAAGTGCACGCGCGCGCGACGCCGCGCGCGCATGCCGAAATTCTTTCAAAAACCGTAGGTTTCGGGAGGGGTCCCAAATCGAGTGTCCAAAAAGCATATATACATCTAGATATCGAAAAAAAGTTTCGCAACACGGATGTTCAACAAACGCGCGCGCGCACTTGCGAATTCTTAAGAAAACATCCGTTGTTCAACATGTTTATATAATGCTACCAAGCGGGCTTCGCGCGCGCATGTCGAAATTCGTTCGAACACCGCTGCGCGCGTGCTGGGGTGACGACGCGTGTCGAAAAACCATGCGGGCCACTCTCGCGCGTCTGCCGCGCGCGCATTTCGAAGTCCAAATCGTTTATCACCGACGCGACAACGCCGGCATCGTCGTCGGCGTGATCAAAGAAATCGGCGCCGTCACTGGCTGCCCCGTCGTCGTTGTCAGCATCGCCACCAGCATCGCTACTGTCAGCATCGTGTCTACCGTTGTCGACGTTGCCATGATCCCGCGCCGGCCCAAGTCGCCGACTCGCACTGAAGTGCCCACTGGGATGTGCCGAGCGGTCAGCGCAACCGCGTGCGCGTCAGTCGCGCCAAACTAGCTGGGCGCTGCGCGCGCGAGCATGCGCGGGCTAGCGCGGCCGCAGAGATGCACCAGCCAACATTCAGCACTCATCGCAATCGTTCCCGCATGGGTTTTGCAAACCAAGTTGCGGGTGGGTGGGTGGATGGGATGATTGCGCGAGCATTGGTGTTGGCAACTTCGTGTCCGGCAAGTGAATTGCACCACGTACACTGCACCGCCTAGGTCGTACCACCTATATTGTACAAAACAGACCGCGCCACCTCGATTGCACAACATCGATGGCACCGCAGTTGTTGCAACACACACACACATTCACACATACACACATGCCACTTCATAGACCACCACCATGAAGTGCACAACACACATTGCCAGAACCAACATGTGTGGGGGTCCACGTTGGCGGACAGATGCCAAGTAAGTATTGACGCTTCGCGTGTCCCACCAGCCCCCCCACACCAGACGAGTTGCCCTGATCAGGGGTGTGCAGCGTCCCGATTGATTGGTGGCTTGTCGTTGCCTGCGGTGCCCGCCCTGGTCGCGTGGTTCTCCGTCGTTGCTCGCCGTGCGTGCTTTGCGTCGGGCGCGCGCGAACACCGACGACGCGCGCGTTGATCATCTAGCAAGTAGGGATCGACGACAGGCAACCAATGAACCAAGGCAGCCGCGGGAAGCGCGGGACGACGATGACGACGACGACGACGCCAAAGATGACAACGATGACTACGACGACGACGACGACAACGATGACTACGACGACGACCACGACGACGACAGGATTCAACATCAAGATTGTTACGCCCTTTCGTTCCGGGAGCGTGTGGGAGGCCTCCTCGGGGCCATCGTGGGACCAATTTGGAGGCTTCTTGGGGCTCTCTCAGGGCTCTCCTGGCGCTCCCTCGGGCCCCTCCTTGGAGGCTGTGGGGAGGCCATCGATCAAAAGAGTGGGATCGCCGAGTTCGGTGCCCCCACTCGGGGACCGACAAAATCGCCCTGGGAGGCCCTTTTTTGTGCCGCTCTCGGGGGGGTCTTGGTCGCGCCTGAGGTCGTGCTCGGACCCGCCTGGGCCCCTCTCGGGGCCATCGTGGAGCCCTCTTGGGGCCTCGAGGGCCCATCGGAGGAGAAGAGGCGAGAAAGCAGAGCGCGAATTACCTACCCCGCTTTCGCCTCCAGGCAAAACCAAGGCATACCACGCGCCTCCTCGTCAGGCGGCCTTGACCAGTACAGGCCGTAGTTTGGCATCGCTTGGTATCTCTTGGAAGCGAGGGTGGTCAAAAGCGAGGTAGGTTTGTTTGCCCCCTAAGAAAGCAAAACATCTTGAAAAGCACGTTGGTGTTGATGGATGTTGGCCTCCTCGAGAGGCTCGAGGGCGCGTGGGGCTGTCGATCTTGAGGGCTCCTGGAGACATGTCGGAGGCTGTCTTAAACCATCGTGGGATATCTTGAGCAACCTTAGAGGCCATCGTGCACTGCCTGAGGATTTCTTGTGGCCACCTGGGGCCAAAAAAGAACTTGCGGGGGGGGGTCCAGATCCAGGGGAGAGGGTAGGGGGAGGGGGAACCCCCTCTCCCCGAATGGGAAGAAGGGAATTAGCAGAACGAGTTCTCTAGAGCCCTCACGCCCTGAGAGGCTGGTGGGATTTTGCGCGTGGCCGATGCTCAGTGGAAAGCTGCGGATGTTGGTAACAACTGTGCTTAGTTTTCTGAGAGCGTTTTTGCCCGCCTCCCGTCGCTTACGTCTGTCGCAAATCGCTAGGGCCCCGCCTTGGGCGCGAGCAGCCAGACGGCGGTCGTCGGGCCGCGGGCGCCTGAGTGGAGCACTAGACATGAAACATATGATGAGTTGGGTGTGGGGGAGGAGGAGGAGGAGGAGGAGGAGGAGGAGGAGGAGGAGGAGGAGGAGGAGGAGGAGGGGGTCGCCTTCAAGGCCTTGACCCTCCTCGACAACATCAGGCCGTTCGACAAACACACCAACACGGAGCTGGTGCGGAAGATCCAGGAACTCGGCGGGAAGGACAACAGGGAGCTTTGGGTGGGCAAGGACCTCTCCGAGGCCTGGACGCAGTGCGAGGCGGAGTACATGTGGGTGCTCGGGAGGCTGCTGCAGGGCTCGTCGTGGACGAACGCCGTGTACCCCCATGCGGTGGTCGACTGGGCCGTCCAGGAGGCGTGCGGCATCATCGAGCACGCGACGACCGTGTCTGCGGGGACGGCCGTGCACGCTGCGCTGTGGTGCCTTGCCCAGATGTTCCTCCACGAAACCTCTGACCTCGGAAACTGGGGCCAGCTAGTGCGCGGCGCCTGCCACCTGGCCCTGCGCTGCGCCCCCCGCTTCGAGCCGAAGACCGCCAGCGAGGTCGCCGACCTGGCGAGAAGCCTCGAGAGCCTGTGCCCGTGATGTGGCGAGCCGCCGCGCGCCAGAGGGCGTCCTCCTCTGTCCTGCAGCACTCCCCCTCCTCATCCTCCTCCTCCTCCTCCTCCTCCTCCTCCTCCTCCTCCTCCTCCTCCTCCTCCTCCATCTCCTCCTCCTGCTCCTGCTCTTGCTCCTCCTCCTCCTCCTCCTCCTCCTCCTCCTCCTCTCCTCCTCCTCCTCCTCCTTCTCCTCCTCCTCCCTCCCCTCCTCCCCCCCTCCGCCTCCTCCTTTTCCTTTTCCTCCTCCTCCTCCTGCACCTCCTCCTCCTCCTCCTCCTCCTCCTCCCTCCTCCTACCTCCTCTCTCCTCCTCCCTCCTCCTCCTCCTCCCTCCTCCTCCTCCTTCTCCTCCTCCTCCTCCTCCTCCTCCTCCTCCTCCTCCTCCTCCTCCTCCTCCTCCTCCTCCTCCTCTTCCTCCTCCTTCCTCCTCCTCCTCCCTCCTCCTCCTCCTCCTCCTCCTCCTCCTCCTCCTCCTCCTCCTCCCTCCTCCTCCTCCTCCTCCTCCTCCTCCTCCTCCTCCTCCTCTCTCCTCCTCCTCCTCCTCCTCCTCCTCCTCTCCTCCTCCTCCTCCTCCTCCTCCTCCTCCTCCTCCTCCTCCTCCTCCTCCTCCTCCCCTCCTCCTTCCTCTGGGGTCCCTCCTCTCGCCCTCCGGCCGTTCACGGCAGCCGGGCCGCGGTGTGATCAGACATAGCGGCCCGCATCGCAGGCAGCGCACTCTGCCCAAGACCTTTTTTTTAAGAGCACGTTGGGGTGGAAGCGGGAGGAGGAGGAGGCGGAGGAGGGGGGCCCCGGAGGAACACGAGGAGGAGGCGGAGGAGGAGGAGGAATCTTCGTGCAATTGGGATTAAAAAAAGAGGAGGAGGAGGAGGAGGAATAGGAGGAGGAGGAGGAAGAACAAAGAAGAAGAAGCATATCAGGAGGAGGATGCGGCGGAGAGGTAGGAGAGAGTGGAGGGCTGGATGGACGGGGCAATATGGGGCGGGAGGAGGGGGCCCGTCGAGGACGGTTGGGGGGGGGGGGGGGGGGGGGGCGGAGGAGCACGAGGGAGGAGCGGGGAAGAGGGCACCAGGCCGCTGTGTGCAACATACATAGCGGCCGCGCGCGCGCGAAGGGCGCACAGGGCGCCCGCAACAGCAGCCCCCCCCCCCGCGCGCGCCTGGGAGGGCGGCCTCTCCCGCAGGCCGCCTCTCCGCTCGCCGCCTCGCCGTCCCCGAGGCCCCTGGGCAGGAGCAGCGCCGGCATGGTGCACGAGACGCGTCCCGTCGAGACGCTGACAGTCAAGCAGTGGCGAAGCGTCCTGGCTCGCCTATAGCCCTACCAAGCAGTGTTCTAAGAGCCCTCTGTGGCTTCCACGACATGTTCTTAGAGCATTTCTGGCGGTGTCTGTCTTGTTTTATCACATCGGGCGAATGTTCCAAGAACATGCTTTTCTTGTTCTTAGAATTTTTTGGGGTTCTAAGAACATCTCGTGGTAGGACTATAGGAATGCCGGGACGGTCGGCCCCTGCTCAAGAGACGCATCCCGTCAAGACGCTGACAGGAGGACCGCTTCGGGCTCATCGGGGGCGGCAAAGAGGGGGTGATGACTAGGGGGGGGGGTGATATCATGTCGGGGGCCACGATACCTCCCCAGATTTCATGGCGCCTCCTCTTATCTCATTGCGTCCCTGGCCCCCCCCCTTGGGCCGCGCACATGCCGCCGGCCATGACTTGCGCCCCCCCCCCTCTGGGACGCCCCCCTCTTTGGCCGCCCCCGAATCCCGCCAAGGCGCTGACAGGAGGACCGCTCCCGGGCTCGGGAGGGGCTCCGGCTGCCGGGCCGCTCCCCAAAACGCCCGTCGTGGGACCCGCTTGTGGCCGCGGGCCGCCGTGGCCTCGAGAAGCCGCGCCGCCAGGGCCTTCTGGGAAGCCCCCTCCTCCTCCTCCTCCTCCTCCTCCTCCTCCTCCTCCTTCTCCTCCTCCTCCTCCTCCTCCTCCTCCTCCTCCTCCTCCTCCTCCTCCTCCTCCTCCTCCTCCTCCTCCTCCTCCTCCTCCTCCTCCTCCTCCTCCTCCATCACAGGGGAACGAACACTGCGGAGGTCGATAGACCTCCTGCCCTGACACGTCGATTAAGGACTTGGCCGTGTTCGGTTCGCGAGAGGGCGTCGCGGCCGTCACGTTTGCGGGTCCAGGTCCGTCGGTTTCGGTCCCAGGCCGTTTTCACTAAAGGGTGGGCTTACTAAGGGGAGGTTTGTCCACCGCCGAGTTATGCGCTCCTTGTGGGGGCGCGATAACTGTGAACGTTCGGAGATCCGCACAGGCTCTTGGATCGGCGCTGCGCCCCCTGTCGGCGCCTCCAGCGCCGTCTCGGGCGCTCTCCGCGCGCCGGCGAGGGGGGTCCAGCGCTGGTCCAGGAAATCCCCTCGTGTTTCCGAACGCGTATGCTTACGCAATTGTTTGTTGTTCTGCGCCAGCCGACCGGCTCTGCCACAGTTCGGGGCCCCAGGAGCGGCAGCAGAGCGGCCCACGTCGCGAGATGCATGTCGTGGAGGGAGTCGAGAGATCCGGACCCCCGCGAATCAGAAGGATTTGTGCGCGGAAAGTCCGGGTGTACCGAACATCTTCCTCCTCCTCCTCCTCCTCCTCCTCCTCCTCCTCCTCCTCCTCGTCTTCCTCCTCCTCCTCCTGCTCCTCCTCCTCCTCCTCCTCCTCCTCCTCCTCCTCCTCCTCCTCCTCCTCCTCCCCCTCCTCCTCCTCGGAAGGGATACATCGCCCCATGGCGTTCCGGAACGCTCTGCCGCGGCCGTGCCGTGGCGCCCGAGGCAGCTTCCAGATCCGTCGGGTCTCAGAGATCCCAGATTCATGTCGATTCGATGTTGTCCAGTCATTAGCCCCTCGCTTTACAGTGCCGGTTTTTTTATACATGCTCCGCGTGCGGATCATGTATTAAAAATGCAGTGAATTAGTATTAAAGACAGAGATGAATCCATGCATAAATGCATTCCTAAATTAATCATGTATTAAAATTATATATGAAAAATTGCCTTGTATTTCGGAGGTTGAGAGACCTCCTACCCTGACACGTCGATTAGCGAATTGGCCGTTTTCGGTTCGCGAGAGAGCGTCGCGGCCGTCATGCTGTTTTCACGAAAGGGCGGTTCACCTAAAGGGAGGTTCGTCCAGCGCTGATGAGTGTGTTCGTGGGCGTGCTGCTGGCAGGAAGTGGAAACCAAAGGAGCACCAGCATTAAGTCGGGCCTGTCCCTCTACAGGAGGAATATTCAAAAATAGTTTCATTAAAAATAGCATGGGGACAACTGTGTTACCATTGTTGAACATGGTTTGCTCATTGTTTGGCAATGTTTTATTGAATCGCTTCGCTCATTCCGCCGGCCCGTGATATGGCATCGCTGGTTTTTGTCTGTGTGTTCGTTGCCCATGTTGCGCTCTTGGGGGCGGGTGTCGTTCGGACGCGTTGCGTGGGGAGTTTTGATGGTGAAGCAGTTCCCTGGGGGTCGTCTCTCGATGGGGCGAAATAGAGTCGTCGTCAAGATGCTTCTTTGGGGGGCCTCTTGGGGTCTGTTGAGAGGCCGTTCGGGGGCGCCTGGGAGACATGTTTGAAGCCTTCTGGGGCTTCTTTTGGGCCTCCTGGGAGTCTCCTGGGGCCTCTTGGCGACATCTTGGGGCCTCTTGGAGGCCTCTTGGGGCCTCTTTGGGACCTCCTGGGCGCCTTCTGGGACGGAGGGCTCCATTTTTGAGTTCTCGGTATCCCTCCTGAGTCCCTCTTGGGCCCGTCTTGGGGCCTCTTGGTCCGTCTTGGGCGGCACTTGGGCCGTCTTGAGGGCTCTCTTGGGTCGTTTCGGCGCCGTCTTGGGAGCTTCGTGGGCCGTCTTGGAGCGGTCTTGGGGGCCTCTTGGGCCGTCTTGGAGCGTCCGGAAGCCGAAAAAGCCAGAACACAAAAAACATCGAAAAAACCAATGAAAATCAACGATTTTGGCCTCTTGGGGCTCTCTTCGGAGGCCTCTTGGAAGGCTCTTGGGGCGTCTTGGAGGCCTCTTGGGCTGTCTTGGGGGCCTTTTGGGCCGTCTTGGGGTCATCTTCGGCGTCTTCGAGCGCTCTTTGGGCGTCTCGGGGGCCTCTTGGGCAGTCTTGGGGGCCTCTTGGGGCACTCTGAGCGCGCTCTGGGGAGCCTGAGAGGCCGCACCCAGAAGGAAAACCATCTCTGAGTAGACTTGGTCGGGCGGCGGTCGGGCGGCGGTCGGGCGTTGGTCGGGGTACTTTTCGCCGGGGGACCCCTAGGGGCCGCCCCGCGCGCGCGAACTAGAAATACTGTTAATACTGTTAACCAGTTACCGGAGATCTTAGCACGCCTTTGGCAATGTTTTATTCTCTTGCACAGGGTGTCTAGAGCTCCGACCACTTTATTTCGGCACCGCACCCCCCCCATCATAATCACCATCATCATCATCATCATCATCATCATCATCATCATCCACATCATCATCATCATGCGCCCCCTCCGTCTCAGCGCCCTCCCGCGGCTCCAGCGCCCGCCCAGTGCCCCCTCCGCCCCGACCACTTTATTTCGGCACCGCACCCCCCCCCCGCTCCGCCCCCTCCCCCGCGCCGTCTCAGCGCCCCCCGCGGCTCCAGCGCCCGCCCAGTGCCCCCTCCGCCCCGACCACTTTATTTCGGCACCGCACCCCCCCCCGCTCCGCCCCCTCCCCCGCGCCGTCTCAGCGCCCCCCCGCGGCTCCAGCGCCCGCCCAGCGCCCCCTCCGCCCCGACCACT